GCCAAACCCCACAAGGTCTCAGCTCCTGTGTGGTGGTCTCCTGCTTCCTTTCCCTTGAATCCAGGGGTTTTCCATGCTGGGTTTTGCAGGGATCCCCAGGCCAGAGTGCAGTGCCACCATTCCCCTCCTGCTCAGCTTGGCAGATTCCTGCCAGCCCTGGGCTGCTGGGGCAGAGCAGGGTGGGAAAGTCCTCTGCATCTCCTCTGCAGCATCACAGCCACAAAAGAGTCACAAAGGAGCTTGCAGGATCATTTGTGAAACAAACAGAGCTGGAGAGGGACATGGGGGGGATTTATAGTCCTGACACCTGAGGTTCTACCCCTGTATCAGAGATGCTGTTCCCCAAGATCTGCTGTTCCCCAAGCTCAGGTCTGCTCTGCTGCACATGGACAGGTCTTTGCAGTGTAAATTCCTGCTTCTCCTTCCTGCTGGACACCCAGGGAGTTCTGTTCTCTCCATGACAGCCACTTCTGCCCACAGCCAATGCCTTGGCACCCCAGCAACCCTGAACCTCAGCACTCCTCTCCCTGGGAAAGCTCCATCCTGCTCCTCTTGTGTGAGAGAAGCTTGGTCAGAGAGATGGAATGAGTCAGCCAGAAAGGCAGTGACACAGCCCAGCATTCCCGAATGTCTCAGGACATGTGAGCGAGTCCTTGTCATCAGCTTTTATTCCATGGGGCTCATCCTTTCCTTGCTTGTACCCTTTCCTCCTCCCTGCAATGTGCATTTCTGGGTGCTGCTGCCTCTGCTGTTCTCTCTCTCCCTCTGACCCTTTCCTGGGCCTCTGGCTCTGGGCTCAGCCCACGGTGTGGAGCTGGCAGTGCTTGTCTCCCCCTCCTCTGATCCCTGCTGTGTTTAGTTTGGGAGATTGTGTTTCTGCAAGCAGGACCCCCACGTGCTGGGGAACGTGGCTCCCCGGAGGGGGATGCTGGGGAGACACTGCACAGACCCCTTGCAGCTGCTGCCTTAAGATTTCAGCCTTTATATTTTTCAGATCCTGCACTGCATTAGTGCATAACTCTAAACTCCATATAAAGTGTCAGCTACAGCCTTCAAGTTTTGGTCAGAGAAAACAATTCCTCTGGGCCTGAAACTTAAGGACAGCTTCAGCCCTGAAAAGTATAAACAAAAGTGAATTTTGGGGGGTGCAAACTGAGAGAATGGGACTTCATTACCTGAAGCTGTAATTGGAGGATTAACCCCTGATACATAAATGGAAACTTAAAATTGTCTGAAAAACTCATGACCATTGTCCACCTTGTGTGCAGCCTCTGTGAGGCCTTTGAGTGCCTCACATTATGTACCCATTTTTTTCTCTTAAAATATAATATAAATATTAAAGTACCCATTTTTTTTTCTCTTAACCTTGTCCAGTCTCTGTTCTGCAACAACTCTAACACAGGTGTTGCAGGAAGAACCAGCTGCTGGGGGCACCACAGCTGGGCCAGGCTCAGCAGCTGCTGCAGAGGGGCAACATCTGCAGCCCCAGTGCTGCAGGGGCTCAGAGCAGCCCGCCCAGGGTCTGAGTCCCTCCCCTTGTCACTGCTGTGTGTGCAGCTGGGGACACTGAGGAGGGGACAAGCAAGGCTTGCACAGCCTCCCTGGAGGGTGCCTGTTGGGGAAGATGAAACAGGGAAGCCTTATAAATGTAATTGCCTGGCAAAAGATTTTGAGAACATAGAAACTATAAGTGAGATTGAAATGAAAGCAAGCTTTGAGATAGCTCAGTTACTGAACAACTGGAAAACAATGGCATGGCCAGCTGAAGGTAATCCCCTTTTGATGGAACAACACCCTCTGCTTGCAGACAGGCCCGAGGGTCAGAGCAGACCCTGCCAGCTTGGCAGGAGGGGCCCAAAGAGGAGTTTTTAGGGTTTAAAATGTAACCCAGTATGGTAATGTAATGATTCTTATAGGCTGTATGTAAATGCTATAGGATTTGTATGTTGTACTAGATTGGTTAGTGAGAATCAGAATATTCAACACAGAAGAAGAAGATTTATTGTATTGTAACAGGAACTTAGCTCTTTTACCCTCTTACCTTATCAACCTCTCTCTCTCATCCTCTCTCCCCCTCTCTTCTCTGGGGCCTGCTCTGAGCTGTGTTTGGCAGCTCCCAGCAGGGCCCTGCACCCAGGCCCTTTGCAATGAACCCCAATTTCCAGCCCTGGCTGCAGAGATCTCTCATCTCCATCCTTCCCCACCATCCTGCCCCACAACACTCTTACAGGGGGCCAGCTCTGTGGTCCTGCCAGGGCTGTGCTGGCCCCCCAGTGCCAGGCTGGGATGGGATGTGTTTGGCAGGGGGGTGTTCAGGGCTGGATGCCAGCATGTGTGAAGCTCACACAGTGCCTGCCAGGGCTGCAGCCAGGCTGAGCTAGACTCCAAATCCCTTTGGAGCTTTCAGGAACAGTAAATTCCCTCAGTGACTTACGAAAGAGCAAAGAGAAAAAAAAAAGCTCTAAATGACTTACCTATTTGAAGCCTGAGGGCTCTGCATTGTGTTAAACATTAACCTGCCCTTCTGAGCCAAGCCACTGATTCTCTGGGCAATTCGTAGGCCAGGCAGGCAAAGAAAAGGATTCTTTGTCAGAGAGCATTTCAGAAAATTATCCCTTCAGCCATTTTTTGTCTCATGGTTTGTTTGGCCCTGCAGTGGGACGCCTGCCCCACAATTTGCTGTTTATGCTTGTGCAGTGGAGCTGATCAAACAGCCAAGGCTCTGAGCAAGCTGTTCCCACCACAGCAGCCCTGGGATGATGGCACAGACACTCTTTGCACTTGTAATGACACCAATACAGGACTGGACATTGAATTCACAGAATGACCAGGTTGGAAGAGATCTTCAAGATCATCAAGCCCAACCCAGCCCCAACCCCTCAACCAAACCCTGGCACCCAGTGCCACATCCAGGCTTTGTTAAACACACCCAGGGATGGGGACTCCACCACCTCCCCAGGCAGCCATTCCAGTGCTTTATCACCCTTTCTGTAAGAAACTTTTCCTGATATCCAACCTGAATTTCCCTTGGTGCAGCTTGAGGCTGTGTGCTCTTGTTGTGTCAGTGCTGCTGGAGAAAGAGCCCAGCCCTAGCTGAGCACAGGCACCTTTCAGGAGCTGTGAGAGTGATGGGGGCACCCCTGAGTCTCCTTTTCTCCAGGCTGAGCACCCCCAGCTCCCTCAGTGGATCCTCACAGGGTTTGTGTTCCATTGCTCACATGTGCACGTGTTATTGCACACTAAAGCAGGCACACGTGCATATATCCCCGTAATCAAGGAGGGAAAGTGCCTTTTGAACTCCTGGAGGTGTATCCCTGTGAGTGCTGGGTGTCAAACAGCTGTGCCTATCAGAGAGGTGCAGGACAGTGGGATCAGTGACCAGGAGTGAGTTCTGCTCCTGCCTTTGCCCTTACTTTGGTGTACAAGGTGGGGCAAGTAATTTCTCTATTGTTTCTCCCCCATGATTTGTGACTAATGATTTCAAAAGCACCTGTGGAAAGGGTAATAGATCATTACTATTGCCTTAAAGGTGTGCTTGGTTAAGCAACAAACCTTTGGTGGCTTTCAAGAGGTTTTATGTTGATGGAAGTTTTGTTGGTTTGACAGTTTTTGCAAACATCTCCCCCCTGCATACCCCAGGACTGGAGCAATGCAGTTCTGTCCTGCAGCCCTGGGTTGCTGTTTTTGCTCCAATCCTGGGAATGTGGAGTGCTCCTGAGCTGTTCCAGTGCAAAGTCTGCCTGCTTAGCACTGAATCCCCCAGTGACTTCAGCCAGCTCTTCCAGTTTTGCACTAAAGCCAGAGAGAGACTCAGACAATCCTTTTTCTCAGATCTGTTACAGAGGAGATAATATATGGCTGAGAAATGGTAAGAAATCCTGACAGGACCATATCTTCTTAATCCAGCTCATCTACTGCCTTTGTCTGTCCCTGTGCAATGCCAGGGTTAGGGCTGGGACAGAAAACTTTTTTCCCTACTCTGGAAGAGTCTGAAACCAAGCAGAAACTCTTCCTATGGAATCCATTCCTTCCTTAGAGCTGGTGGAATTCCCTCAAGTGAACAGGACTTGTGCTCTGCACCTCTGTGTGTGGGACAGCCACCAGAGGGGCTCTGGAAGTCTCTCCATGGATCAGCCTGGCCCTTCCTCCAGCAGCTCAGGCTCCCTGTGCTCACTTCCCCCTGTCCTTAGAGCAAATTAAGAGCAGCTATGACTTTCTTCCTGTCTGTGTTTGCAATGCCCCCGGCTGATTGCATTTGTGTAATTAATTGCCCAACCTGTAGTCTCACAGGGGAGTGATCTGGAGCTCGTTCTCCCTCCTGGGACATGAGGAACAGTGAAATCCTGACACATGAGAACAGAAAAATCCTGACACACGAGGAGAGTAAAATCCTGACACACGAGGAACAGTGAAATCCTTTTCCCCCCACCTGGGGCAATGGCTGAGGGCTGTTTTTGGGGTCCGTAGCTCTCTGCCAGCAGCGATAAGTGAGGTGTGAGCCTGCACAAACCTTTTGCTCGGTTCGCAGCCTTGAATGAGCCCCGGACGAGCGGGTTTGGAGAGGAAAGAGGCGTTTTCACGGGTCACTGATGCACTTTGAACTAGAGCCGGCAGAGCAGCGCTGACCTGAGCTGCTCCAGCAGCCAAGGGCTGAATCAAATCCATGGGGTGCGCCGGGCTGGGGGCGTGAAATTCCATCTCGTGCCTTTGCTGCTGCGGCTGGGAGAGCCGGGATTCGCAGGGCGGGGA